CAGAAAACTGGTGGTGGAAGGTGACTCTAGCTTGGTTATTAGGTGGCTACAGAAGGAAGACTTCAGTTTGTGGAAATACTTAAATGAGAAAAAGAAAATTAAACATTTGACTCAAAACATGGAAGTTCAGTTTCAGTGGACTAAAAGGTGTGCCAATTCCTTGGCAGACTCTTTGGCTAAGCAAGGGGTGAGAAGAGCTATTCTTTTCTGGGCAGCTTTGTAATATGAAGTAAACTTTCAGGGAGGGTTAAGAGATTTTACCCCTCCGTCCTGTTGTATCCTCCTTTTTAATCTCTTTATTAATAAAAGTTTCTGTTATCTATCAAAAAAAAAAAAGATCCAAAGAGGTGTGGGACAGCAGGTCAGGAAGTGGGGGGGATTTTTTTTGATCAATAACAGAATCAATTTCATTAATTAGAAACAAGTACAATGGGTGAAAAAGGGAGAGAGAAACTGTCTTAGCCCTCCCTAACAGAAATTTCAGCTACAACATAGTTCAAAATAAACTGTTCCTTCCCACACCTTGTTTGGCAAGTGTGTCAGCAAAAGCATCGGCATCTCTTCTCACCCATTTGAAGTTCACTTCTCCCCCCGTAACAACTTCGTGATTTTCCTCTTCTCATAGATATAACACCACCACCCAACCTCCTCTTCCTCCTGAGGCCACTTTATCACGAGCTTTGAGTCACTCTCTACTAAAAGCATCATGATGTTCAACTCTTTAGCCTTTTGACTGCCTTCCAAAACAGCCACAATTTTTGTCCTCAATGAATCTCCTATTCCAATTGGACTTGAATAGATCACAATGACCTTTCCTTCCTCATCCCTGAAGAATCCTCCAATGCCAGATGGACCTGGGATTTCCTTCACTGCTGCTGTCAAAGTTGAGCTTAATAAAACCACCAGAAGGAGAGGACCAAGAAGGGCTAACAACCTCTTTGATAGAAGAAGAAGATGCAACCTCCCTCCAATTCCTCATCAAACCATCTGCAGAGATATTCTTAAAAATATCCAATGTCTTCGATGATAGCATCCCTACTCCTTTTTTTATCAAGAAAAATTCTCTATTTCCTCTTGTCCTATATTGTCCTACAGACTGCTGCCCTTGTACATTTCCATAATATTCTTCCCCTCTTCAATGGCTAGCTAGAAAAGATAGAGGCAAACGGGCTGTGTACATTAGGAGGATTTTTCCACCTATATTGAAACAAAGAAAGAAACCATTCCCAAATTGAAGAAGAAAAAGGGCAGGAGATTAATAAGTGATACCAATTCTCACCTTTGGCCCTACATAGAGAACACCAGTGTTGGGAAAGACACCAATTAGGTCTTTTTCTTTGCAATAAATCACAAGTATTAATTCTTTCTTGGAACACTTCCCAACACAAACCACCCGCTTATGTGAAATAGGTTTACTCTACACCTCCTTGATCGGGAAAGACAACCCTTGACTATCACTCAGCTGAACAAGGGATGAGAAGAAGGAAGAACAAGTGAAAGAATTGGAGGGAGACAAAGTCCATATCCTCCTATCTCTCTTTTTCGTATCTAGACACACCCTCTCAAGGTTTGAATCAAACTCATGACACTTGATAATTTTACACTCATGTAGTCCTCTTCTAAACCCCGAGTCCCAGTCATACCCAATACTTTAGTTAGATGGGATCAAAAGAGAATAGATGGGTTCCTCCTTACGGTTGGAAATGGCATAGAGAGAGGGTAATTGTGTTTTGATAGGAGAATTGTCCACCCAAACATGACCCCAAAACTTAACAAGAGATCCGAACCTTGGAATTATCTGATAGAAAGGCAAGAAAAATGGAAGAATATCACAAATGGACTTCCAAGGAGAAGCTCTTGTAGCCCTAGTCGAAATTCCAATGTCCCAGCCATCAGCCACAAGCCCGTGAATACTAATAATCACCTTTGTCTACAACTTATCCCTGTCAAGAGGCATTCTCCACAACCATTTCCCCAACAAAGCAATGTTCCTCTTCTGTATATTACTGAGGCCGAATCCTCCAAACTTCCTACTTCTATGCACCACTTCCCACCTTACTCTATGATCGTGATCCTTCTTCTCCTCCCCTGGCTCCCGTAAAAAAATTCCTCATCAATTTCTCTAGCCTTTACTTACCCCATCCGAAATCTTAAGGACTAACAAAAAATAAATAGGCAGGTTGGCTAAAGTAGATTTAGTCAGAGTGATTTTTCCTCATAGGGACAAATAACTATTCTTCCACGAGGCCAATCTCTTAGTGAAGCGGTCAAGCACGAGGTTCCATAAGTTACTATTTACCTCATGAGGCCAATCTCACTGAGAAACCATACAACCCTATATTTCTGCACTTTCAGTAATCTCCCTTTCCTCCATATTCAATCCCGCCATGCAACTCTTATCAAAATTAGTTTTCAGATAGGACATTTTCTCAAATAGTTGCACAACCATCTTTAAATTCCTCACCCATCCAAGATCGCCCCCTTTCACAAAAAAAAAGGAATGTATCATCAGCAAACTGCAGGTGGGTAATCGGTACCTCTTCTCTTCCCACCCACCACCCCCTTATTAATCTTCTAGAATCCACACTATCAATGAGTCTCCCAAGTCCCAAATGCATCTGCAATCAGATCAGGATTAATGAGTAATCAAAGCATTTGAAGATTTTTAGGAAGAATTCTTTTGCAGTGAGAAGATATGGAAATCAGAGAAAACACCAAAATGTTTTGGTCTCAAAGTTTTTGTTAGATTGAAAAGGAGGTCTATTTGGAATTTATGGGTTTCTGTTTGTTTTCTCAGTGGGGTCAGTTTCATGTTTGTGAGTATTTGTTCTATGGAAGTTGATGTTTTGTGGTTGGTTGGGTTTGGTTGTTTTCTTTGGTTAGAGAGTTTGACGTTTGTTGGTTTGTTTTTCTCTTGTATGGTTGGTTTTATTGGTTTGGAGTTGTGTTTGGAAGATGTATTGTTCTTCTCTAGGGTGACTTCTGGTTACTTTCCTTGCACTCTTCTTTTTTCTTAATAATTTTTTTTTATTTTATTACAAAAAATTGTTCTTATTTAATGATATGACATAGGGAGCTCAATACTTGTACTTAAAAGGAGCTTCATCCAATTAAAGATCTTCCCAAAATTTTGCTTTGTTTCCTGAGGATGCATCGAATCTTGTGTGAGCTAAGAATAGAGGGTAAAGACAGCTGATAGATTTCCCAGGAGAAACAAGAAATGATTGTGCAGATAGGCTGGCATTCCTGCCATTAGCTTCTAAACCATGTATGCTTCTAATCACTGAATGCCAAAGTTTGTCTATGTCGAAAGCACCCAAGCTATTTCTCTGACAAAGAGATATTGTGAGCGATTAGCTTTCCCCAGGTTTCCTTAAAAAAATTCCTCATTAAAGCCTCCAATCTTTTTGCCACTTTCACTGGAATCATGAAGACTGATAGGAAGTAAACTAGATGGTTAACCAAGGTTAATTTAATAAGGGTGATACTACATCCTAGCGAATGTATCTTTTTTTTTTTGAAGAATAAAAAGGAAATTCATTAAATTGAAAAAGATGCAGTACATCTCAAAGTACTGGTTGTCTGGATGACGAACCATCTGCTTAACAGAATTACTCTGAAAATGAATCAAAATTACATGGATTCAATTCCAAAGTATTCCAGAAGTTCTCTAACAGATCTTCCTTTTGTACAACTTCCTAGCAAACTTATTTAAAACAGGGCCCCAAAAGCTCAAGTCCTAGGTTTTCCACCTAAAAGTAGGTCCAGATAGTTTAAAGGCCAGGAAGATATTGAGCAGTCCAAATACCATCATATCCATCCACCACATTCACATCCATTTTATTCCACTAGACAGCTTTTTCCAAGGTTGATTCTAAGATTTGAAATTCAAACATTTGATGAGTTGATGAAAATTCTGGACTGCTATCCCATTATCTTCAAAGAATCTGATGTTATTATTAGCCATTTGCAATTGAGTTACTCCGACCTCCTCCCTTGCCACTTTAATTCTCTTAATTAATTCCCATGAATTGGCTCTTGGGATGAGACAGCTAAGTACATCAGCCACTAGGATGAACAAGAAGGGGGAGAGAGGGTCTTCCTGTTGAAGTCTCTTCATGGCAGGAAAGAAGTCCTCAACTGATTCATTTACTAGAATGGAATAGTGGCAAGACTGCAAAAATCCTTTGGTCCATTTCCTCCATGTTACACTGAAGCCACACTTCTCCAAGACAAAATCCAGGATTGTATGCTTTTTCCAAGTCTAATGTGCACACCTAACACTTACCACTACCTTTCCAAAGATGTTGGAGACATTCATTGGCAGTGATGATCTGGCCTGCTATTTTTTTTTTGATCAACAAATAGAAGATTTATTATTATAAAAGGGAAATGAGATTAGAACACATAAAGGCAGGATTTCCAGTCCAAAAGACTAAACCCCAGATTACATAGCAGCCTAAAACTGTTGCTGTCTCATTACCCCTTGCTTAGCCAGTGAATCAGCCAAGCCATTTGCAGTCCTTGTCACCCATTTAAAGTCAGCATTAATATCCTTGTTTATCCAGTGATTTGGCCTGTTATTTGCCTATCCTGAATAAAAGCTCCTTGATGCTTGGAGGTGGTAGAAAGAAAAACTTCTCTAAGCCTAAGAGAAAATCCTTATTATTTTATAGATGCTACCTACCAAGCTGATTGGTATGATATTCTTCATTGATAGATCATAAGCGCCCCATCTTATTTTGGCTTTGAACCATGGTGTGTTTTCAAGTAACTATTCATTCCCATTGAAAAGTTTAACTCCTTCCACTAAATACATACTTTATCATTTTATGAAAGAGAGCTAGGTTTGGATAGTTTTTCATTTTATGAATTGGATTACACAATTTATGCACATGGAGTCACAAGTTTGTTAAATTACTTGTCATTTATGCATTGATTTTATGGTTACTTTTTGCATTTTATACTTAATCATATTAGAATGAATGTTATCTATGCAGAAAATAGGGTCATCTGGTCAGCGAAATGCTACAAGGTGTGGTCTTTGGTGGGCAGAAATGCTCAAGGCCAGGGATCAACATAAAGAGGCTGCTAGTGTCTACTTTCGCATTTCCAATGAGGCAATCCCTAATTCCCTGTAACTGAATCTCTGAAACACAAGCATGTTGTTTTGTGCTTTTGACATTCTTTACCTTCTGCCCTCTTCTCTTTCTTAGGAACCTTCATTACATGCTGCAGTGATGCTTGAGCAGGCATCTTACTGCTACTTGTTTTCCAATCCCCCCATGTTACGCAAGTATGGATTTCATCTTGTTCTTGCGGGTAACCGGTACTATTTATCTGACCAGGTACCTGCATTTCTACAATGAAAATTTTGTTTTTCCATATAGAAAATTTTATCAGTATTTTGAAGTAAGTTTATTTCCCGGTCTTTTTCATTCCAGAGAAAACATGCAATTCGGACATACAGAAGTTCTCTTTCTGTTTACAAGGGAAATTCGTGGAACTATATCAAAGATCATGTTCATTATCATGTTGGAAGGTAAGGTATCTGCAATCCATAGTGTTAAATTTGCATGAACCTTGTCACTGAACCACTCATTCCACTAGGTTCTGAGATATGCTAATTTGGTGGCCAGTAGACCTTCTGGGCATGGGATTTGGAGGCTTTGTATAGAGCCTTTTCTTAACCAGCATAAGAGTTAAGGGTTGTATCACTTTATGTTTAGAATTTTGATCATATTCGTTTATTCTATTGCTTCCCCCTTCTCTTGTGTGGGATTCTTTTGGGTCCCTTTTAAGCGGCCCCTGCTTTTTATCATTCTTTTTTTTTTTTCTCATTTAATGAACTCCTTTGATCTGTTGTCTCTTGAAAGAATCTTCAATTCTGATTTTCACTTCTAAATGAACTTTTCCATTTGATTCAGGTGGTATGCTATTCTTGGGATGTCTGATGTGGCAGTCAAGCATATGTTGGAAGTCCTGGCATGTAGCCATGAGTCCATCTCAACACAAGAGTTATTCCTACGGGACTTTCTTCAAATTGTCCAGGTACTCACCAGTGGGGAACTTATCTTGTCTTTCTTTTTTCTTTTCTTCTTTTGTTAAATAATTGTAAATTTATAAATTATAACAGCTAAAGTAAAAGTAGAGCGTTAGGGATGATAGTTCCTTTTTATAGGTTAGTTCAATACATCCTCAGTTGGTCATGTTATGGGATTCTAACTTTTGGAGGTGTCAGGTATGGGAGAATGGCAAATTAGAGCCACCATGACTATTCATGTGGAGAATGATGCATACAGATGTCTGTTACCCACAGTCACTTGAAGTCTTAGCAATGATGTTTTTAGTCTCTCCTTTCATCTCAAGCAACATCTGCTGTGATTTTTGTGAGTTTTTAGACTTAACAAAATGGCTTAAACTTGTTTCATTTTACTCCACATCACCTATTTCGTAGGGGTGACTTTCAAAATCAAGCCCTTGTCTTTACTGTTGGCAATTTCTGGCCCAAGCCGATCATTTACCCGGTTGATTGGTTCAGTTAACCGCTAGTTCGGTTCGTCAGTTTTTTGGTTTCCAATTTTTATAAAATATATTATAAATAAATATATAAGTATATAATAAAAATTTTAGAAATGCATATAAGTGTTATATTATAAATAATAAATAACATATTACATATTATAAATATATATTAATGCATATATATTCATTTACAATATATAGATAATATAAAATATATATAACATACACACACACACTGGTCAGTTTGGTTAACCATTGGTTTTTTAGATTGGTTAATCGAAACCGAATCAGTACCTTTGGTTTCATCGATTCGGTTCAGTTTTTTGGTTTTTCTTGATCACCYCTACATCCAACCCATCCATTGCTAACCCACCCATTTAAGGTGTGGGTTGAATTACCGATTGGGTCAAATAAAAAGGGTTGGGTTAGGTTTGATTATGGGTATCCATTTGGGTCAACAACGTGAAAGAAATTCAGTATGCTATTCTCTCCTCATTGTTACTCTCTCTCTCTCTCTCTCCCCCCAAAATTCTCTCTTCTTTTTCATCTCTCGCCTCTCTTTTCTCTCTCTTCATTATTATCCATCCTTTTTCTTTTCTCTCCTACATGTTATTTGATTATTTGTCTCTTTTCTCTCCTTACTCGTATAAATTCTCTCTTTCACTTGGGTCTATTACTAGGGGTGTCAACGGTATTCGAAAATCCAAATTCGAATTTGATATCTGATGTAATTGGTTCAAATTCGAATATTTTGAATGATGCAAACAATCGAATTCGAATATATGCTTTGTACCGATTAAATAATCGAAACGAATTCAAATACATGTCGATTCGATTTGATAATTATCCGAATTTGATTATTATAATGATATAATATAAAAGAAAGATATCTCTTAAAAGTTAGAACCTCGGTCAAGTGTCTTTAACTTTTTATATTATATTATTATATACTCTTATTTTAATATGAAAAATAAAAAAAAAGAACTAATTGCTTCTTCCATGATAAGACCACTCGGTTCAGACTTATATTTTCATTAGTTGACAGGTGATAAAAGTGCATTAATTACTTCAACCTGCTCCGTCTCATCTCCCCCATTTCCCTCCCTTGTATCTCTCATTTTTTCATTCCCCTGCATTGACTTCCTCCCTGGCATCTGGTTTTGTTGATTTTTATGGAAGAGATTTCAAAAAAAAAAAAAAAGAATAGCACATATTGAATGCAAAGATCATGTATTAATGAAACAAAAGAGAGTTTCACAGTAAATGAATAGCACAGTTGCGGCTGTCATCCATTTATTTTATGGTAAACAAAAAAATGTTGCAGTCTCTCCCTCTTCTCCTCTTTCTCTCCCTCCCTTCCTCTCTTGCTTTCTCCTTGTTCTTTGTCCATCTTCTTCGTTGTTTGTTCCAGATTTTATTAGGTTTTTTGTTTTTCTTTTCTATTTTTCCCTTGTTCGTTCGTTTTCTTCATTTACAGAAACAGTGTATATCTTTTGTTTGTTCAAAGAAAACAAGTTAAGACTTTCTCCATAATTCATTCAAAGGGAACAAGAGGGCTCATTCTTGGATTTCAAGAATTAGGATGTAATCCATCGATTTTGAATTAATCGAATATTTGATTATTCGATTATCTAGTCGAATTCGAATTCAGTTTTTAATTTTTAATATCCGTTGAATTTGAATTCGAATAATCAGTTTTATGATCGAATTTGAATTCGAATAATCAGTTTTATAATCGAATTCGAATACGACGTGATTCAATTCGAATTCGCTCTGTTACAGGCCTATCTATTACTTCTCTATTTTCTTTTTCTTTATAACTTTTTTATGAAGTCCAGTTTTCTTGTTAGAGTTGAATCAATAAGGTAGGGACATGTGTCACTATAGGAGAAACCCAAAGATTTGTTTTTTTTTTTTCCCTCAAAAGTGTTGATTGACAGTTTTAAATATTCAAATGGGTCAAGATGGATGGTTTAGGTTGGGTTGCAACCCATGTACATATTAGAAATGTGAGTTGTAAATGGGTGTGGGTAATTGATGGATGGGTTGGTCAACCTGTTGTAAGAGGATAGGGTAGTGTTGTTCTGTGAGTTTCTGAAGGATGGACAAGAATGCCTGTTCTGAAAGCTTTAAGTTAGTGGAATAACCACCTAAGGAAAAGGTCTGGTAATCTGAATGTCTGAGAGGTCTAAAGTCTCCAAAAGTGCCTGAGAAGGAGGCCAGGTTCTCTAAAGGGTGGCAATGCAGCTTGTGTACAACATCGGATTGAATTCTTGACTCTTCTTTTTGGGAATGGTTCCCAAGTTAGTTATGCCAGCTCATCATGGGCGGTACTGACTTGTGCAGTACAATTTTCTTATTCACTTTGCAATGAATAAGAAAATGGTTGATGCTATAGCATTCTGTCTTTCTTGTGACACATTGAACTTGTCCATTTGTCCTTCAGCAATTGGGTTTAGGGTTATTTTATATTCTTTGAGCTCTTGCAAGGTGGCAACTAGTTGGTTGGTAAGGCCTTCTTCTGGTTTTAGTGGAGGCTTGGTCCTGCCTGCACCAGGGTTGGGGGATGGGCTGCTCCCCATTGTGAAGCCCCATGGACCAAAAAGAAAAAAAAACAGAAGAGAGCTCTAACCTCCCTTTACACATGTTCATGCCTATAGTTGTTTTATAACATAAATACATTTTATATTAATTTCCAGATAAAGAAAATATTAACTCCATGATTTCTATTATTATTTTTTGCTATCAAACTAGTTCTTTAAAAAGTTAACATTCTTTCTTTGGTTCTTATGTCTAACTTAGAAAATGGGGAAAGAATTTGAGGTATTCAGACTTCAATTACCTATTACCAATATGCCTTCTCTGAAGATTATATTTGAAGACCATCGGACTTATGCATCTTCTACAGCTGTAAGTTGCCTTGTTATTTGCTTCTTGAGTGTCTTGATGCTTTCTGCAGTTGGATCATATACCTGATCTCTGACACGTTATAATATAATTCCACTATCTCATTAGGTGATCCTAATTCAGGAATTTGTACTATGCATTATATTGCTGCACAAAGCAATGCTGTTATCATGTAGTTTTGTCTATATCATTTCCTTATAATTTACAGCTTCACTGTATTTTCCCTTCAATACATCTTTCGTTATTACTTGATTATGCATGTATATTCTTTCTTGTAGAGGAAAAAACTACAAAAGCTCTTACTCCTTATTACTCCAGGCGAGATTGCACAAATAGGAAATAACAAAAAACAGAACCCCCTTACACATGGTTATGAAAAAAAAAGAAAAAGAAAAAGAAAACAGAGCCTCATACTATTTGTAAAGGATAATAGTTAAGTTATTGAGCATAATAACTCTTTGTTTTTCATAAGACCTTCAGAGAGCTGGAACTTTGTTTGGATTATTGGAGCCCTTGGTGGGAGATGAGGAGTTATGAGAAAAATTCTTCATATAAGTCTCTGGTACTGCATCCTAAACTGCCTTTGCTGACTTAAGGGAAAAAAGCCACTATTAATATTAATATGGTTATGTTGAGTTCAACAACAAAGACATGATCATTAATTTACTTGCCTTCCAGTTGTCATGTGTCAGTTCATCCTCATCAGGATCAGGTTCCTCGGTCTTTCTCATGAAATAGTTAAGTTTTCCTTTACCTCCAACGAACATCCTAACTAATTGGGACCAATGTAAGTAACTGGTTCTATCTTGTTTTGCACTAATAAGCTGCACTCCAATGTTCTCCAAAGTGGAAGACAGAGTGCTAACACTTGTGTGATATATCTCTACTAGAACCAGCATTGGAATTCCTACTTGATGTCATATTTTCTCAACACAACCAGCATTTGAATTCTTACTTGATGTCGTAATAACTCAACACAAAAGAAGACAACAACAGCCAATAGTCAATCCAACCACTGGTACCTCCAAGTATGCAAAGGACATAAATGGTGTCCAAAGCATAAGACAAAAGAGAGATAGGACACTTTAACTAAAAGGATCAGAGTAATCTCTCTCATGACCATGGTTGGTAAAATCTCCCAAAAATCTTTCTATTTTTCATTTGTAGACTATACATTTAAGTTTTAAAATTTTAGAATATTATTTGAAACTTTCCAATATTTATCAACATAGTTATTAAAAATCTTTCCCTGAAAGAACAAATGGGGATTTGGTGCTTGATTGTATCTTGATGGGATTTTTTTGGAAAGGTAAGGTGATTTTATTGAAACAGAAAACAGATACAACAGGGCCCTCACCAAAAGAGAACTGGCCCAGAAATAAAACAGAACACAGACTCCGCAGAGACCAACTCAAATTACAGACTCCATAGGGATTGAGAACTAAGAAGCTGAGGCACATTTAGGTGCTTAAATTCAGGATTAGCAGCCACCCAAGAGATCTGCTTACTCACAGCCCTTTGCGCTAACTCATTTGTGCTTTTAAACTTGTTACAGAAGACTCTGTTGTTTCTTTCAGACCAGATGGACTAGATAACAGCTGCTGGAATAGTTTTCCACACCAACTTTCCCTTCTTCTTGAGATCCCTCACCTTCCAACAACACATCAATGCTTTAATCATACTTGGCATAACCCAACAGATTCCTGCAGCTTGGGTTGGGAACGCTCCTCTTAAGGACAGTTTCCCGGTTATGTACTCTCTTTTGTTAAAAAAATTGAAGGTCATTTCCTCTGTTTGTGTGAGTGAGGGTTCTTGGGATCTGGGACTAAGGAGAGGGTTGAGAGACTCAGAGGTGGCCTCCGCAGATGAGCTGTTTTCTCTTTTGGGTGCAGTTTTCCTAGACCAGTCTTGCCCAGATACTAGAATTTGGTCAGAGTTCCCCTCAGGGCTTTTCTCTTGCTCTTCTTTTTTCAATGCTTTAGTTCTGATGTTGTGCCTACCCCTTTCCTTGCAAAACAAGTGTGGGTTACTCCTATTCCACCAAAGGTTAGGGCTTTCTTCTAGGAAGTGGTTCTCTAAAAGGTCAATACTTTGGATGTACTTCAAAGAAAAAGGAAAGGCTGGTGCCTTTCCCCTCATGTCTGTTGCCTTTGCCTGCAGAATGGAGAGACAGTGGCTCATCTATTTATTTCCTGTCCTTTTACTTCTTGTATTTGGGGATTGGTTTTCTTCTCTCTTTGGTTGTAGGTGGACTCCTTTATTTGTGCAGAACCTTTTCGACTCTAGCTTCTTCCTGTTACCAAAGAAGAGAGGCAGGGTGATGTGGAAAACAACAAGAGCAGTTGTATTATGGTCAGTGTGGGAGGAGAGAAATAATAGGCCTTTCCAAGGACAGGAAAGAACCAAGGAAACACTTATAGAGGGCATCACTACCAGGATCATACATTGGCTGAAAGCTTTGGAGCTTTTTAAAGACTTTTCTTTCACTGACTTCACTAGAGGATGAAGTGTCATAGTTGGTTCCTCATCATTCTCCCTATCAGTTAAGGAAAGTTGGACCCCACCACCTTGTTTTAAAGTGAAACTAAATTTTGATGGAAGCTCTATAGGCAACCCGAGCCCCTCGGGATTAGGGGGTGTTTTCAGAGATGAGAGAGGTAGAGTGCTGGCCCTATAGGGGTGGGAGACTCCCTAAAAGCAGAAGTTTTTGCTTTACTCCAAGGTCTCAGGTTGGCAAAGCATTGCGGATTGCAACAAATAGAAGTGGAGGGAGACTCCAAATTGGTAATAGGCTGGCTGCAATCTAGAAGCTTGGGCACATGGCTTTTCAGACATCAGCTAAGGGAAATCTCAAGCTTAGCAAGGGAGATTGGGGTGAGATTTATTTGGGCAAGAAGAACAGCAAATGGTATGGCCGATGCTTTAGCAAAGCAAGGAGTCAATAGGCAAGAGTTGTTTTGGGCCTGTTTTTGAGACAGTTTGTATCAAAGGGTTCTCCATCCGGCCTCGCAGATGTAATTTTTATCCATTATTATTAATGAAAGTTACCATTTCCCATAAAAAAAAGACTATGATGATCTGTAGAATCCGGCTGAGACCCACAAAGCTCGCAAGAGATATCCGGAAGCTGAAGAACTCTTCTTTCCAGATTAGATCTAGAGAGGCACTTATCTAGAGCCATTGTCCAAACCAGAAAATTAGATTTTGAAGGACTGATCAGTTTCCAGATCTGACTGAAAGGGAAGCTTGTAGAATCTGAACTGCTAAGCTTGAGGGCCAAAAATTTGATTGAGAAGCAGCCATCACCATTCCACTTCCAGCTCCACTCGCCCTCGAAGTTAGTATTTATCCCCTGCCCTTGTAAGAGCTCCAACAACTCCATAATCTTATCCAATTCCCAGTCAAACAGGTTCCTTCTAAATTGAGGGGGTCCAGGTCATCCCATTTTCAGAAACAGTGTAGGAGTCAACCACCGAAGCATCATGACTAGCAGAACATTAGAACAGGAGGGGGAATGCCTCAGCCAAGGGACCATCGTCCTTCCAAAAATTAATTCTCTCCTTTACCCACCTTAAAGCTTACTCCTTCCAAAACAATAGGCAGATTTTTCATTATGCCTTTCCACAAGGAGCAGCCCCGATTTGAAGGGGGATCTCAAGACCTCCAATTACCCCACTCCACCCCGAACTTTGCAGCTAATAGATTTCTCCACCATGCAGTTCTTTCTAAGGCAAATCTCCAGCTCCATTTGCTGAGAAGGGAAGAATTGAACAATTTCAGCTTCCTAATACCCAATCCACCTTCCTCACTAGAGAGGCATACTTGGTCCCAATTGACTAGATGAATTTTCTGCTCTTCTTCCTAACCTTTCCACAGAAAATGTCTCTGCAATTGTTCCAATCTTTTTGCCTTTTTAGTTGGGATGGGAAAGAGAGACATAAAGTATGTTGAAAGGTTGGAGAGTGTGCTTTTAATTAGTGTCACTCTACCCCCAACTGGGAGATATTTTTCTTTCCAAGAAGACTTTTTCTCCATCCTTTCTATGAATGGAAACCAAAGAGCTGAAAAGGAACATTTTTCCCCGAGAGGTAAGCCCAAGTATTTAACAGGGAGGAAGTCAATCTGGCAAGCCAACATCCTCGCACACTCCTCCAAATTAGACACTTAGCCCATTGGAATAATCAGACTTTTACTCAAATTTACTTTTAGCTCAGAGGCAACTTCAAACCAGCTCAGAATCCCCAGAAGGAACTCCAACTGATCAGGGGAGTCGTCCACAAAACAAAGAGTATCATCAGCAAATTGAAGGATGTTCACCTTTTCCTTCCCTGGAGCAATCACAAAGCCTTCCCAACAACCAGAAAGAGCAGCCCTCTTACTAAACAGCGAAAGAATTACCATGATACAGATGAACAATAGGGGAGAGAGAGGGTCTCCTTGTCTTAACCCCCCTAGAACTTTCAAAGAAACCTGCAGACTGCCCATTTGTCAACATAGAAAATTTGGGGGAAGATATGCATACTTTGATCCAATTCCTCCACTTTTGACCAAAGTTCATTTTCTCAAGCACAAAATCCAAACACCTCCAGTTTACATGATCATAAACTTTCTCAATGTTCAATTTGCACACCAAACCAAGACTTCCCTCTCTCCTTCTAGAGTCAATAAGTTCATTAGCTATAAGAACAGAGTCAAGCATTTGCCTCCCTGGAACAAAGGCAAACTGATTGTCAGAGATTACACTGCTTATCACCCCTTTCAACCTTTCAGCCAGCACTTTTGCCAAGATCTTATAGAAGCTGTTCAGGAGACTTGTAGGCCTCAAATCTTTGATGTTAACAGCCCCTTCAATTTTTGGGATGAGAGTGATAAAGGTGGCGTTCAAATTTCTTTGAAAGGAAGCGTTGGAATGGAAAGACTGAAATACATTTACGAAGTCTTGCATTGCTTTATAAAATCCCAGCACTTCACATAGAAGAGATTGGTTAAACCATTCTGGCCCAGGGGATTTGTCCCCTTCCAAGTTCCAACTTACAAATTGCTGCCTTGATCTCCTCCTCCGAGAAAGGCCTCTCAAGGAGCAACTTCTGATTCTCATTTAACTGCTTGAAAGGTAAGTCCACTGGAAGAGGTCTACAGGCCCAACTCTCCTTATAAAGATGAGAGTGATAAAGGTAAGTCCACAAAATGGCAATCAGCTTGATTTCAGTAACTGAATCCCCAACTCTGCCTTCCCATTCCAGCTTGCTAATTGAAGAAGCTCTACTCCTCGCATTTGCCATTTTGTGGAAAAATGTGTATTTCTGTCCCCCTCCTTCAGCCAAGTGGTTTTAGCTCTCTGGCTCCATTTTATCTCTTCCTTGACTGCCAACTTATCATACAAAATTTTGAGATCTTTTCAGCTTTAGAGCATCTGATAAAGGACCTAATTCTTCCGCTCTATCAATATCTTCAATTACACTAAGATAGGTTCTTTTCTCAGTTTACAATGTCAAGCTATTTTCTAGCCTTCAGAGTTTTGTTTTGTCCTTGATTGCTCCCAGCTTCTTCGCCAGAATAAAAGAGCTGGTTCCCTCCACATGGAAATCACACCAAACTGCCTTCAATAAAGGGATAAAATGGTCTTCTTCAAACCAAGCATTCTCAAATTTAAAAGGATCCTTTGCTTTCTCCTGGTTTCCACATATTAGTTGAATTGGAGTATGGTCTGAAATCAGCCTAGGGAGAGTAATCTGCCTGAATTCAGGGAAACTATCATCCCAGTTCGCAAAAACAAGAAATCTGTCGAACCTTACCAAAGTAGGAGTATCCTGGTTATTAGTCCAGGTATAATGGGCACCCACTAGAGGAAGGTCAGACAGATGATGTAACGTTGAAATCACCACCTATAACCCACAGATAGGTGAGAGAGCCTCTCAAATCTTCCAGTTCCCCCCAAAAGGCATTCTGCAGGCTTGAGTTTGTTGGACCATAAACATTTGTTACTTGGATAATATTCCCATTGACAAGCCCATAAGTAGAGATATTGAGAATTGGTCAGTTCTGGGACACTACTCTATAGACCGAAGGGTCCCACATAATCACCAAACCTCCAGCTTTTCCAATAGCCGTTTTTTCTCTCCATCGAACCTGACCTTCTCCACAAACACTATGGACCATAAAAGCATCAAGCACTTCCAATTTTGTTTCTTGCAACAAAATGATTTTTGAATTGGAACGCTTAAGAACATCACACGCCACCAATCTTCTCCTACCCGATCCTAAACCTCTGACTTTCCATGATAAAATTTTTAAATTCATTTCACTATTGACACAAAAGGAATTCTCGCCCACTTCTTACAACTTCTTTAATCCACTCACTACTCCCCACCTTATCGTTGAATTCCCAAGTGAGTCTCATCATCTCTCTGTTCTTTTTCTAAGAGGTCCCCCCATTCCTGGCTGCTAATTTCCCTCTTTCCATAAGTATTTTTTGCTCAACAAGAACACACATTTGACTTTACCTCTCTGATCCACCAAAGCAATAGACTTGCCTTTGCTGTTCGCTGGCGGAATATTCTTGCTAGAGGATAAGACAACTTCAGTTCTTGGTCCCGAGAGAATAGGCGAGCTATTCTCTTTCTGGTTGTCAATTTGAACAACTCCTTGCACTTCGTTGCCTACCACTGCAATAGGCGAAATCTCCAGCAGATCTTCCTCTAGTTGCACCAGAGGGAGTTGCTGGATCTCCATCTACAAGGGCTCCCGAGTCGATGTCGTCAATTAAAGGGGAGGGGGAGGGGACTGGACTGAGCCGCTGTTGCAGTGGCCCCTTTCCTCTATTGCCGATTGGACCCAAGTGGACTTTGAGGGTTGGCTCAAGGCACGAGCCCTTGGTTTGCTTTGAGGGTTGGCTGAGCCAAGCTGGACCCAAGTGGATGGGGCTGTTGATAACTAATCTGTGCAAGAGAGTTCTGGGCTCAATGGAAACCTTTTGAAATTGCTCAGATTGCTGATTTGAAGTCGAGTTGGGTTTCTTCACTTGCATATCCTGGATCTGATTCAATGGATCCAGGTTCAATAAAGATCCAGATCCTGTCACCTGCCCTGCCTCATTTAAATCATTCAACGGAAATTCCGCCATGGGAGCCACTTGTAATTCACGAATGCACTCCTTAATGTTTTCAACTCTTCAATACCCGAGCTTCCCCTAATAGACCAAATTTGAAATTATGTCCCCTCTCCTTGGTAACTCCCCTTGGTCTCTCATCTTGACCCTCCAAGCTCTTTAAGATTGAATGGCCTAGAGGCCTTCTATCCATCCCCTCCTTCTTGCCTCCTCTTACCACTGGCAAAGACGAATCCTTCGATAGGAACCTTTGAGACGACAGAAAGTTAGGTGAGGCACTCCTCTGAGAGCCTTTGGAGAGGCGACTGTTCCCTTCGTCTTCTATTAATACTGTTTTTAAGATGTCCGGTCCAGAAACCCCTAGCTTTTGGATCCACTCTCCAGCCCCCTTGACCTTCATCTGCTAACTGAAGGCAAGAATTCAAGCTAGAGGCGACGTTTCAATAAAGCCACTACATAAATCTCCAATGGACTTCATAACACTCGGACACTAGAGAAGTAACGGGAGGATGAAGACTCTCATCCAGAGTGAATCGTCTTGAACAATATCCTCCTTCGACTCAGGGTAGCACCCTGGACTTGTGCCCCACCAGTCTACAAGGAGGGGGTTTCTCCCCATCTGCCAAGGTCCATTTCTAAGCACCCACTCCGCTTCAGCTCTTGAAGAGAAGATAAACAGGAAGAGGTCATCATCCAACTTCTTCACTTTGACTCCCCTTACCATTCCAGTTCTCTGCTTCCTGACCCCTATCTCCCAGCGAAACCCCACTAAGCAATTTCATAGGAAATCCCTTCTCATTTCCAACCCTTGGAGTTCTGCGACAAGAACCAACTTGTGCTCAACCTTCCTCATCTCAGTGTTCCCAAACTCCGGCCAAGCCCCAACCGCCGCAGCTTTACTATAGGAAAAATTAGGTCTCGTCCTCGCATCGACCCCTGCCCTATTGTACCAGTTTTCCACCTCCCACCTCCTCTTCCAACAAAAGATCTACGAAAGACACCCCTGTGATACATTTGGTGCATCCTAGGGATGGACCACAAACGCTCCCCTTTAGTTACAAGTTCCAGACTCACTAAGTCGCTATAATTCAAAAGAAAAAGGCACCACAGAAGAAGATTCTCAATCTAATCAAGATGTATAATAAGAAAGATTCCCCTCCCTGGAAAACAATGTTTGATGGGGATGACTGATCGATGGCCACAATTTTGGGGGATGACTGATCAGTGGAAGTGGAGTTACAAGGCACACTTAATTAGTGCTTGAAGCGTGTAAGAACTAATTAAGTTAATGATTTCTTCACTTAAAACAAGTATCATTAAAACTATCCTATCTAAATTGTTTTTAGCATTTAGAACTTCATTTTTTAGATCTTTATTCATCTACTATTATCGCTACTCCACTTTTACTATTGATTTCTTTCCTATCTAAATACAAGACTGGTAAGAAAGTAAAGATATCACCTAAATCTTTTTTTTTTTTTTTTGCACTTGGTTACTTCCATTTGCATCTGTCATCAGTAAAACTCATACTCAAGTTTTGAAGTACTTGAGATTAAATCTTTTCTTGGAATATTGGCGTATTTTGGATCTGAAACATCTTTCCCATTAAATTACTCAAATTAATTCACTTCTTTTTAGCTTCTTCCACAATATTATTCTATTACAGGGAACATAAATGCTGATGTAAAGTTGTAAACCAATGTTTTCTATAATCAGGTTGGAAGTCATATTACATCTATGATCTATGACAATTTAAAAAAAAAAGGAACAATATAACTTTCTATTCTATGATAGTGGTACCATTTCTGCTGTCTCAAGTGGTATGTGTTTGCTAGAGAGCAGTTGCAGAAGAGGAAGAAGAAGAGAGAACAGATCTGAGAATGGGCGGCAATAATGTCTCAGCCGGCCCTAGAAGCTAATATAAATATTTACAATAAGAAGATACATGAAAGGACTAGATTGCCCCTGATTAGTGATGGGACACCTAGACATAATAAAGATAAATAAAACATAAAACAGGTTTAGGCCCATTAACAAAGGCCCATAAAAGACTAAGAAACTTAAACATAAGAGTTAAACTAAGCCCATTAACACTTAACCACTCGAACCAACAATATGATCATCTGTGATGTTAGTTTGGAACCTAAGGCAATGTTGCAACATGGCTACAAGCTTTGGGTCAGTGTTGTAGCTCAGGTTTTAGAACTTGTAAAAGATCAAAGCTCTTACTGTGAGATTCCAATCCTCTGGTTAAGGGCTCATAAACCAGAGAATAGGAGAGTTGGAATCTCACCACATGGAAGAAGAATGTCTCTTTTCTAAACAAACTAATTGTAGATATCAATTCTCAAATATTTCCTTAAATTGGTAAATGTGAGGCAGCACCATTTATAGGCAAGGCTAGGAAAGAAAACCCTAGCTTGCATAGTATGCTTTCTACAAACAGGCAAAATTATACAAATACCTTTCTAGAATATTCTTCTGGAGTATTCCTTTTCTGGGCATGGGGTTACTAGAGTGAGCTTCATATCTTGGACAGAGGCCAAAGATTTGGTTGTGGGTTATGGACCTTCTGTATCATGAACTGGCAGAGGAATGACAAAATTGGGTTTCTTTCCTTTCCTTTAATATAAGGGCCTTCATATGTTTGTGGGCCAAGGGAAACTTTGTGGTGTTATGTGTACATGGATCTGCTAAAGGGCTTAAGCCCATCCTGACTGCAACATCATGTAAACATAGTCTATACTTATTATGTACTTGAGTTTTTAGTCTTTCAAGCAATTGTCATTGATGATATGAGGCATTCCTTTCTTGGACAACTGTTTTAACTTGTTGCAATATATTATTAAATCTGTGATTTATGCTATTTATTCCAAAACTCAGGTTAGTGTTAGAGAAAGCTTGTGGCAGTCTTTGGAGGAGAACATGGTTCCATCCTTACCTACCTCTAGGACTAATTGGCTGGAATCTCAACCAAAGTATTCTTCAAAGAAATATAAAGACTCCAGCATTTGTGTTGCCGGAGGTATGCACTATTTTTGTATCAATTAAAGCCATATTATCTTAAGGAAATGTAAAGATTCAGATTGAACTGGTTATTCTGCTTCAACAAAAATACAATTCCTCACATTGTACTTGAAGGTAGTTGTCTATAGGTTCTATCAACCTATTTGTTGGTCATTATCTACTTGCTTCGGATTGTTTGTACAAATACAAAATCATTGCATCTTACTCATGCCTGTTTGTATGGAGAATTTATAGCATACACCATTTATTAAACAAATGGAAGTGATTGGCAAAATATATAGGTTTCCTTCACAGCTTGTTCTCCTCAACTTGAATACTATCAATCCATGGACACTTTTTGGAAATGGACTGTCATCTTTCTCATATTGTATATAAATGTCTGGCGGACATCCAGCCCAAAAACAGTGGAGATAGAGGTCTGATATACATCTTAGAACTTTCTTCCCTGAAACTTTGTTTGATTTGTCAGAAAACACGATCTAGAAAGCAGTTGCATTTCTTAGATGGTGGCTCCAAGAAAGCACTTATTTGCAGTGGTAAAAAACAACAAGAATTTAAGAAAAAGAAGGAGAAACAGGAGAAAGTTACAAAATTTCTTTCATTCATTATACAAATTATCCCCCAAACCCATCTGGTGAAGGAGTCTGCCAATTCCCGGTCTGGGCTTCCTATGGAATTAGGTTTCACACCCCATGGTCTTAGGCATTTTTATCCTGTTAGCTTGCTACACTCTTTGGTTGAGATTCAGAACAGTAATTTATAGAACTACTTTCACTGTTTAGATTGCAAGAAACATTGTGGGGGAACAGACAATTTCATCTATCTATCCTTGTTAATTTATACAAAATTCTTTCAGCTCACTTCTAGAAGATAAAAAGCAAAATTTGTCCAATGTAATTCAGAAGTTTGGTCAGGGAAAATCTATGCCACATTATTCTGTTGATAAAATTTCCTAACAATTTATGTTTTATTTGCTTGCAGAGGCAATAAAGGTGGGTATTGAGTTTAGAAACCCTCTTCAAATTCCCATTTCAGTTTCTGGTGCTTCTCTTATTTGTGAGCTCTCTGCTAGATCTGAAGCAGCAGCTTCAGGTAAGCAAGTTCGTTTGTTTTTGCGTTTTCATATGCTTCTTATTTGTCAGTCCATGATTTATGTGCTTTGAATTTCATCAGAGATAGGTGGTCAATATAGAGATTCACTTGTATCTGTTTCAAGGCAACAGAATGATACAGAATTCAGAAAGTTGGTCAGCAGTTGGTACGTCTGTCTACTTTTTCTCGGATTCATTTCTTACTCAAAACATCTTTTATTTTGTTATTCACTCTAAAGGGAGTGGTGACTTCATTACTGCAGGGAACAGAATTCCAGCAATTCTTTGTTTACATTATCAGAAGTTAATTTTTCGTTGGGGGGAGGTGAGACAATCATGGTGAGTTTTAGTGCAGAAACAAACTCTGTATGAAATTTTTTGTCCTTCCACATCCTACTATAAGACATAAGTTCTAGTGTTTCATCTAGATTAGCCATATATTTAAATGAGTGGAGGTAATCTACTTTCCTATAATAAAGCTTCTTTATATTTTGATTTTTGTACTTGGAGCTTATGCAATTTATCAATGCTTATTGACAAAATCATTTCAATTGTTTGGTGTCCAAATATCTGAGGGAAATGAAAAGACTTTTTTCCCATTCTGTGGGTCTATTTAATTTCTTTCCTAGAACTCAGGTGGAAACAAACATCCTGGCCTGCCAGGTGCAAATCCAGCTGTACACCCAGTGAAGTCTAGACAGAGCTGGACTAAGCATAAGTATGTATGTAGGTATTTAAATATGTATTTGTGTATGTAGAGGTTCTAATTGGGTCAAGTAGGAAATTCCCCACACAACCCTGTCGTATTTTTGCCACGTGGAGGAATGTAGTGGCAGATCAAGACTGTCCACACATAGGGGCCCCTCTGGATTAGCCAGGTTTTCAATCCTCAATTCTACATTATCCATATATGACTATACCCAACTTGAATTGGTTTGTTTCTTTAAAAATATTAGAAGTTCAAAGTTATTTTTCTTTAATACATGTCCATCTAGGCTTTCGCCTTGACAATTATGATCCAAGGGCTTGATTCATTGCCCCCCTCCATCCACCCAATTATTTTTGAGATTTTAATCTGTTGAATTAGCGGTGTGTGTGTGTGTGTGGGGGGGGGGTACAGGTTTAATTTAATCTTGAATTAAATTATATCACTTTTTTAACGTTGTCAGTGTAAATCTTGAATTTCCTACTTGGTTTTGATATACTATCTTTCCATGATTCTTCAGGAGTGAAACTACCTTCTTGGATAAATTTTTGTTTGGACAACTAGCCTCTGTTTAAATCCTTTTGTCTCCATTTCTACCAGTCAAGACCATGATTCCCACTTTCAATATGATGGACATTTTGTCATGTAGAGGTGGGGAAATTTCTGGGATATTTTGCTATTTTCTCTAAGATATTTGGAAAATCTAATAAAATCAAGGAAATTTTCTAAAACATGGAATTTGTTAATAAACCTTAAAGGAAATGTTAGAGGAAGTATAAATGCTTATTGAAGGCTAAAATACCATAGTAAACAACTGTATGAATCAAATATAGAAGATTAAGAGACTTAAATAGGTCTGTCTCCCTTTTAGTCTTTTATCTATCTTCTCTTTATTGCGTATGTTGTTTACTTTCCATTTTAGGTTTGTCTTTTTTGTCTCTATATGATTTCCTCTGTTGTAGTTGTGTTCTTTTTCTTTTGAACCATACCAATTTACTATGTCAATCGTAACAAAATAGTAAACCATTCATTCAATCACTGAATCCCCATTTGTTCTTTTAGGAAAAGACTTTAAAAACTATGATCATTTAATGAAATATCAGAAAGTTTCTAATCATATTCTAAAAGTTTAAACCTTAAATTTATAGTCAATCAATGACTTTTGAAATATTTCCGACATATCAATGATAAACATGGTCAAGACCATAGCTAAACCTTATCCATTGCTCAAGCATTTTCCCCCTTGAAATTTATTCATGCTTTTGATGTTACTTGTTTTATTAGTTACTAATATCATCAAGAATTCTCTGAACCATTGACTTTTCCATTTTCAGGTACAACTATCTGTTACTCCCAAAGTGGAAGGTGTACTAAAAATAGTTGGGATGAGGTGGAAATTGTCAGGTACTGTAGTTAGTTATCAAAATTTTGACTCTGATGATGCAAAGAGAAAAAATGTTAAGGGAAGAAGGAAAGGAAAGCAATCTTCAAGCAAGAACCTGGAGTTCGTTGTGATAAAGGTTTTACTCTTTGATCTTTACAATTTTCCTCTATTTCCTCTTTTCTTGTTGCATGTGCAATCCATTGAGGAGGTAGAAAAAAATGAAGGGCTATAAGTGGAGAGTGAGAGTAGGGAAAGGGTAGACAACAGGGATAAAGGTTGGAAAGAGAGATGGGGATATTATTGGAAATATGAATAATGAAAAAAAGTTTTGTAAGTGGAAATCAAAAGTTTGAGACTTGACAGAAGGGGGCAAGTGAAACTCTCTATTATATATAGATGCATAACGTTAGTTAGCTTTTCCTAATATTAAAGAGCTAAAAGGCTGTAAGTGGAGAATGGTAGAAGGGAAAGGGTTGACAATAGGGATAAAGGGTAGAAAGAGAGATGGGGAAATAAGAGAGGGTTCAGACTGGAAGAAAGGATCGAGTGGTTTGGGCAGTGATGACAATGACCTTGGCTTCTTTCTTCTCTTGATCTCTTCTTCAGAAAGGAAAAAAATTCCAAAAAGAGCTGAAGAGTGAAGGAAGAGGGAGAACGAGTTGAAGGAAGCATGGGAGAGGAGAGAAAATTCAAGCCGGCGGGGAAATGGCGATTGGAGATTATCATTGAAGCCAAAGACTTCCTGTTCGAGCAGGGAAGGACAAAGGGGAAGGTTCACCTGAAAATCAGAGAAGGTAGTAGGGCGACGATTCTTCTACCAGAGGAGGCGTGTTTGTGGTTGAAAGGTTTTGTTGACGGAACTGTTAACACCTTACGGGAAGAAGGATGGAGAAACTCGATGATCTGTGGGGGTAAGAGATTCGAATCAGTTCTAAAGAGGAATGGAAATGGGTGGTTTATCATGGTAACAGAGCATTTTGGCAATAACAAAAGGCAAGTGTTGTGTATGCCGGAAGGCCAGAAGCGGAGAGGGTGGGCTTCTTTTGCTTTTAATCTTCAGGCTTTTCTCTTGAAGGTCGAAGGGAGAGTGGCAGAAGAACCTGATAGGAGCTCTAAGGAATGTAACCCAGCCATTCTGTGCGCCCCGGAGCCTTGCAAAGTGCAAAGCCCTGAAGGTATGGTATCTAGTTCAACTGAACATCGGAGAATAGCTCTTGAAGAAGGGAGAGGTAGCTGGGAGAATAGGATGGTTTTAATGGCAGACAGGGCGATAGAAGACTGGACGAAGGTCTTAGAAGCAGTTGCAGAGAGACTGGGCCTAGAAGAAGATGCAGTCTTATTGCCCTTCGCTGAAAAGAAAGCTATTTTAGATATTAGCGACAAGAAACTGAATTTCAGCACAGTCCAATCAGAGGGAAGAATGATACAGGTTCAGAACTGGGTTCCAGTTTGCAACGAAGTAGAGCCAAGAAATGGCAGCTTCTTGATCAAACTTCTAGAACTTCCATTCAATCTCTGGAACGAACAAACCTTAAGGACAATCGTCAGAGCTCTGGGTGGAGTTCTGCTGGAGGTTAACATGAGAAACCTGCAAGCCGTGGAACTTAAGGTTGCAGGGATTAAGCCAGAAAACCTGCCGCGAGCTTTCGAAGTTCACTCAGAAGATGCCTGGTACAAGGTCTGGTTAGCCTAAGCTGAGGCATCGCTCTGGGGAAGACGAACAGAGGTTGAAAAGGCATCGCGTTGGTGTACACGTGGCCTTCAGGACTGGCTGGAAAGCCAGTAGCGCGTGGAAAAGTGAAAACAGTCGCAGTTCGCAGGGGTGCTCCAAGTCTCGAAGCCTTCCTAGGCTATTAATTCAAATTTTTTTGAAGTAGGGATGTGCAAAGAGGGTGGCCCGTTCTATGTTGACGTGGCTAGAAGGGGAAAGGCTCGGGCGATCTCTCTTAATAAGACCTTGTCTGAACCGGCCATAAGGAAGACCGAGCCGGCTGGTTTATCGGGTGAGCAAATAAGGGCACCGGGTGGTTTTTTAAGAGGCCCACGTGACAACTTAAGTCATCACGTGGGGCGGGGAAGGGTTAGGCCAATGATATATGAAATTTCTCATCTATCATCGTCTAAATCTCGCATGGCCGACTGTGAAGGGTTTCAGAAGGCGAGAACGGCAGGGGGAAACTGACCTCTGAGCTGGGTAAGACGGCTGGCTGGTGACGAACAGAAATGACACGATTCTGATCACCCGAACCCGCGCTACTTGAGAAACAGAACTGAAGAGAGGAAAGAGGCTGACCAAGGATGGATAAGCTGCGGCTCAGAGTCTGATTGCGATGAAAACTCGGAAGGTTGTGAGAGTTTAGGCAGTGCGGCAGATGAAGATCTTTCAGAAGATTAGAACAGGGATATGTTCAACCTGGAACACCTGTTCATTGGGGATATGGTGGGGGAACAAAAGGAGGAGGGGGAGGTGCGGGTGAATGAAACTTCTTTTTGTAACAGAGGAGATGTTAACCGAAAATCGGATGAGCCCCTCCCAAGTTCTAGTGCTTTGCAAGAGGCCGAAAAGGAGTTAGCTCGGGCTTTCTCAGAGCTGAACAAGAGTACAACACAGAGAGGTACACACTTGGGTATAGGAAGAGGTCTTTGTGTAGATCTAGTGACAAGGAATAATTTCCCCTAAACCGGGGAGACAGTGTGCTCCAAGTCCTCAAAAAAGGAAGTGACAACCAATTATTCTCTTTTGCTTACTCCTCACAACCCTCAGTTGGCCTCAGGTAAATCCCTCAACTCTGTCAATTCAGTTTTTGATACTGATGAGTGCTCTGTGTCCCTTGTTCCAGATTCTCCCCTCAACCAAGTGTCGGAGGCCCATGGTCAGAGAGCTACAGTGAGTCTACAAGGGGAGGAAGTGGTTGAGAAAACTTGTAGAGAGACAAAGATTTGGGAAATCATTGAGAGTTTAATGGGTGAAGCGGAGGGGAAGGAACTGCAGAGAGGGATTATAGAGGGGATAGAAAGGGCTATTGGTGGAGGTAATGAAAAAAGGAATGAGAAGATTCTTAGGAGCGAGAAGAGTGGAACAATAGAGAAAGAGGAAACTAGTGGGGAAGAGTCAGTTGCAGAGTTTGTGAAAAAGTTGGGGTGCAAGCTGAAGAATCCAAATGACTTAAAAGCCTATATGCAAAAAAAAAGAGGACAGCAAGCTCAAGAAGAGAAAGTTGTGTGAAGTGGAGAGATTGAAAAGAGATATTGAGGGGGACAAGAAGTTTGAGGTGAGAGGGGATAGAAGGAAAGGGTTTAAATAGATTTTGGAGGAGTTAGGGTTGAGGTTAAGAAGTTAAAATGAGAATCCTAAGTTGGAATGTGAGGGGTTTGGGCAGTATTAGGAAGAGAGCAACAATTAAAGAGGTGATTAAGAAGTTTAATCCGGATGTGGTAATGCTTCAGGAGTCCAAAAGAATGGTTTTTGATTGCAGATGGGCAAGGAGTGTGTGGAGATCTAGGGGGATAAAGTGGGTGGCTGCTCCCTCGTGGGGATCCTTAGGTGGGATTGTAACATTGTGGAAAGAAGAATTACTATTAGGTGTGGAGGAGTTAATAGGAGATCATTCTGTTTCCCTAAAGTTCAGACAGGTGGATGATGGGTGTGAATGGGTACTAACAAATGTATATGGCCCCAATGACTATAGGCAGAGGGAGAAATTATGGGAAGAATTGAGATATTAGAGGCCTCTGGGAAGGACCTTGGTGTGTGGGAGGGGATTTTAATGTAGCGCGATTTATAGAGGAAACTAACAACCCTAGACAGAGAGTGACAACAAGTATGAGGACCAACCTTCAATCTAGGCCAATATGCTCTAAGATGGACAGATTTTTGTACTCAACAGATTGGGAGGAACATTGGGGTAATCTAACTTCTAGGGCTCTTCCAAGACTTACTTCAGACCATTGTCCTATAGTGTTGGGTAAGGAGGAATTGAGAGGTGATGGACCTACCCCATTCAAGTTTGAAAACATGTGGTTGACTCATCCGGTTTCATTGAGAAGATTAGAGAGTGGTGGGAACAATCTAATCCGATAGTAGAATGGGAGGGAATGAGGTTCCACAAGAAACTTCAATTCCTAAAATCACAAATAAAGGAGTGGAATAGGTTGGAGTTTGGAAGAATAGAAGAGAGAAAACAAGTTTTGATGGAGTAGATTGAGGAATTGGACCTGAAGGAAGAGAGAGGTTCCTTTGGAGAGGAAGAAAGGAAGATGAGATGGGATTTTAGGAGGCAGATGGAGGATATCCTAGTTAAGGAGGAAATTAGTTGGAGGCAAAAATCCAGGTGTAAGTGGCTAAAGGAGGGAGATAGAAACATCGAGTTTTTCCATTCAGTGGCAAATGGGAGGAGAAAAAAGAATTTCATCTCTAAATTAGAAGTTGAAGGAGTAGTTTTGTCCCACCCGGTAGAAATTGCTGAGGTCCTAGTAAACCATTTCAAATCTATATTTAGAAGGCCTTTGAATGGGAGGGTGTGGTTGGAGGGATTGGAATGGCCGACTCTAAGTGCAGAGAAGAGAGAGTGATTAGAAAAGAGTTTTGATCTGGAGGAGATAAAGGAAGTAGTATTCTCAATGGATAGGACAAAAGCTCTGGGTCCAAATGACTTCACAATGGCTTTCTATCAGGATTGTTGGGATGTTTTGGAGAATGATCTTAGATAAGTTTTTGAGTTCCACAGAAGGGGAATAATAAATCCGGGTTTGAACTCAACTTTCATTGCTTTGGTCCCAAAGAAGAAAGAGGCATTACAACCAAAGGATTTTAGACCTATTAGTCTGGTGACTAGCTTGTACAAATTTATTGCAAAAGTGTTGTCTCTTAGGATAAAGAGGGTGCTTCCCTCTATTATTGCACCCAACCAAGGTGCTTTTGTGGAGGGAAGATAGATCATTGATCAGATCCTCATTGCAAATGAGAGCTTGGAGAGCTTTAGGAAATCGAAGTAGAAGGGAGTGGTTTGCAAATTGGATTTGGAGAAGGCATATGACCTAGTTGATTGGTCCTTCTTGTTGGAGGTTTTGAGAAGTTTTGGCTTTGGAGACAGGTGGTGTAATTGGATTTGGGGCTGTGTCAGGACTTGTCATTATTCTGTTTTAGTGAACGGAACTGTGGTTGACTTCTTTCCTGCTTTGAGAGGTCTAAGACAAGGAGATCCACTCTCCCCTTTTCTTTTCACCTTGATTGCTGATGTACTTGGGAGATTGATCCATAGAGCATACTCGAGGAATCTGATAAAAGGGTGGAGAGTAGGAAGGGAGGAAGTTCGTTTGACACATCTACAGTTTGCAGATGACACAATCTTGTTCTGTGAAGGAGGGGACATTAATTGGATCTGAAATTTAAAGTTGGCAATACAACTGTTTGAGCAGATATCTAACCTCAAGGTGAACTTTGGTAAGAGTTGTGTGGTGGGAGTGAATGTGGATGAAAGGGAGCTAAGGGAATTTGTAGGAGAGCTAGGTTGTGCAATCTCGGATTGGCCCTTGACATACTTGGGCTTCCCTTTAGGAGATAATCCTAAGAATGTAAGCTTCTGGAATCCAGTAGTGGAGAGGTTTGAGAAGAGGCTGGCGGCTTAGAAGAGAAATTATCTTTCTTTAGGTGGGAGAGTCACTCTGATTAGGTCTACCCTAGCTAACCTACTTGTCTACTATCTGTCAATGTTTAAGATCCCTTCTAAGGTCTCCAATCTCTTGGAAAAATTAATAAGGAATTTTTTGTGGGAGCCTGGAGAGGAGAAGAGAGATCATAGGGTGAGTTGAGAGGTGGTAACTAGGTGTAAAAAACTAGGAAGTCTTGAGATTGGTAACATCAAGAAAAGGAATATGTCTTTGCTGGGAAAATGGTTGTGGAGGTTTACAATTTTAAGGGATAAATTGTGGACTGAGGTTGTGGCTAGCATACATGGGCTGGAAGACAATGGCTGGGATCCTGGAATCATGGCAAGGGCTACAACCGCTTCTCCTTGGAAATCGATTCACAATCTGCTTCTAGTTTTTTCCCCTTGGATCAGGTATGGTCTAAACTCTGGTAATCGAATAAAATTCTAGGAACAACTTTGGGTCGGGGATTCACCTCTGAAGGATCAGTTTCCCTCCCTGTATGCTCTGTCTGACTTGAAAAATGAACCTATTTCTTCTTTCTTGGTTCCTTTAGACTCCACTTCTGGTTTTGGGTGAAACCTAGGCCTGCGTAGGTCAATTAGGGATATAGACTTGGACAACATGTTACCTTTGCTAGCCATCCTTGAGAATGTCTTCCTAAATCCTGATAAGGAATACACCAGATTTTGGACCTCTTCCACCTCTGGTACTTTCTCTTGTGCTTCGTTATTTGAAACCTTAACTCAGCCTTCTGTCCCTATTGGGTTGCCCTTTCCGGTTAAGGAAATATGGAGCAAGCCTATTCCTCCTCGAGTTGGCTTTTTTTTTGTTGGGAAATTTTCTTGGAAAGAATAAACACAATTGACTTACTTCAGAGAAAGAGACCCAACTATTGTCTACTTCCTAATAGATGTTCTCTTTGTAAAGCTGATGGGGAATCCGACTACCACCTCATGGTCTCTTGTAAGGTCACTGAAACTGTATGGGAGTGGGTTTTTTCCCGCTTTGGGTGTTCTTGGAATCCTCCTGAGAGTGTCCAAAGTTTGTTTTCTCCTTTTTTTTTTAGATGGCCTAAGAAGCGAGGGAAGATTATGTGGAGGAGTATTAGGGCAGCTGTGTGCTGGTCACTATGGGAAGAAAGAAATTCACATATTTTTTTAGACAAGGAAAGAACCTTGGAAGAACTGTTAGACCTAATTCTATTAAGGGCTGTTCACTAGCTAAAATCTTTGGAGTTGTTTTCAGACTTTCCTGTGGATGACTTGCTAAGAAATTGGAAAGAGGTTGCTACTACTTCTCGGTGCAAGAGAACTCTTACTCCCTCTCGGTCCCCTCCCCGCTCTGGATTCATAAAATTGAATTTTGATGGTAGTAGTGTAAGGAATCCAGGGCCCTCTGGGACTGGAGGAGTTTTCAGGAATAAGGAAGGGATTGTTATTGCTTTGTTCTCTGGCCCTATTGGAGAAGGTGACTCTCTTGGGGCTGAGATCCTTGCAGCACTGGAAGGAATTCGAAGAGCAAAGGAATTAAATATCAGCCGGTTGATCCTGGAAGGTGATTCAAAGGTGGTGGTTAGCTGGTTGAAGAAAGAGGACAGTGGATTGTGGAGCTATAACAATGAAAAGAAATAGTTCTTATGGTTGTGTAGGGACATTGAGATACAATACAACTGGGTGAAGAGGAGTGCCAACTCATTTGCGGATGGGTTGGCCAAGCAAGGGGTGAATAGGGAGTCGATCTTTTGGGCTAATTTTTTAATTTTTTCTCTTTGTATTCTGTTAATGGGGAGCTGAGATATTTTATCTCCCCTTGTATCCATAGTATCACTTTTCTCTTATTATTAATAAAGATGTTGTTATTGATAAAAAACATGGAAATAAGAAAAATGAAAAAAAAAGTGTTGTGAGTGGAAATCAAAAGTTTGAGACTTGACAAAAGGGGAAAGTGAAACTCTCTATTATATATGGTAATAGATGCAGAATGCTAGTTAGTTTTTTCTAATATTAAAAATTTAATTTCTCTTTCCTGTTCATTTTCTAATATTACATCTTTGATGTCCAGAGTCTACCCAAGCTTGGGGGCTGTATTCATCACCTACCTAAAAGAGTATATGCAGGGGATCTGCGCCGTCTTGTATTGGAGTTGACAAATGACTCTGAATCGTCTGTGAAGGTGAAATCATTTAACTGTCATTGTAACAGCTAGATTTCACTGAGAGCTATGAAATTATACAAATTTGTACATACAAATTATATGCTTGCACTTTTTAATGTGCACCATGAATTTCCATTATGTTTGTTTGTTTGATCAATAATGTATTTCTGACATGTTACCGACAGACTCTGAAGATGAAGATCAGTCATCCAAGATTTCTAATCCCAGGGAGTCTGGAAGACATGAATGTAGAATTTCCTTCTTGTCTAGAAAGGCAGGCAAATTGTCGAAACAGTCACGTTCAAGCTAATACTGTTAAAGGGTCCAACAGCTGTTTCTCATTTCCAGAGGTCTGTACACAACATGTTTTGGTAGGGCATGTCCTGTTGCAATTGACATCAATTTGGAAATTCACCATATTCTCATATAATGTTATTTCTTTTCTGTTTGCAGGATGTAGACATTCAAGGAGGAAAGACCTTGTTGTGGCCACTTTGGCTTCATGCTGCAGTTCCTGGAAGCATTTGCTTATATATAACAATATATTATGAAATGGAAAATGTATTGAGTGAGATGAAATACCGTACTCTTCGCATGCACTACGATCTGGAGGTAGGCAATCATTTTAGAAGCAATAATCAGAAACTTCATTAATGCAGCAATGGTAGTATTGCCCCAACATTCTAAAATGTTTTGCAATGATGGGACATGGGACCAGTACAACAAGATACATCATGGCCTTTCAGATTAGCCCCTGGACCTGATGCCTCCAAAACTAGGATCATTCCTTGTCACCTCTTGCAGCTAGAGCATTTGCAAGACTATTTACTATTTTCCAACCTTGGGGTCTTCCTCAACAAGTAGTTCAGGCTAGCTGACAAAGATTTTGCTTCTCTACTATAAAATCTGAGGGACCAAGGGCTGTATAGTCTTAAAGAAAGCCAACCAACCATTACTTACGTACAAATCCCCTTCTGCTATCAGTTGGTTCCAGTCTGAAGAGTATTCCAGTTTTAATTCTTAAGGAGGGTAAGCAATTTGACCCTTTGATATATTCCTTCACCAGCTGATAAATAGCTAAGCATGATATTTACAGTCCGATATCTAAAGATATCTCCTACCCCTTGGGAGTCTGGATTGCCCAGGCAGCATCCAAACTTGTCTTACCTGTTATCTTATAGGAGTAAAATCAGCTAAGCACCTAGCCACAAGGATGAAGAGAAGTTCTGATTATATTTTCTGACAGCATGAATTTGAAATATTTTCAGTTATAACAGAATATAATCTAAGAAAAATGTGCTCCAGGTTGGACTTTGATGTCCTTTGGTCCAACTTCCGTTTATATTTGGAGTAATCTATCATAAATGCTGCAGCCCTGCAGGTATAAACTTTTAAGGCCCATAAGCATACACATCTTTGGCAATCTTCTTAGAGCAAGGAGTGCATGATTGACTTGTGTTAAAATGAATATCCAGAAAGTAATTTGTTAATGGAAGGTGTACTTTATTAAACTAATGTTGCATTAATTTCAAATTTGCATTCAGTCACTTGTTACAAGCTTTAGCATCTGACAAACATGGTGTTTCAGATTCCTGTTGAATAGGACGATAGACTCACCGGTATATTTTAATAAGATGGATATTGTTTTCATATATTATATATTAGCAACTAATGGGATGTTCAACAGAAATATAAAAATGTTATTGTTGTCATCATCATCATCATCATCATCATTATTATTATTATTATTATTATTATTATTATTATTATTATTATTATTATTATTATTAGTGTCAAAATAGAAAATATGTAGATCGGTACATTCATTTAAAAATCCATGCAATATAGCTACTGAATATAATTCCTTTTGGACTCTTTTATAGCCAGACCTCATGGTGATTCATAGAACCATAGTTTTTTCCTATATATGTAACAAAGATGGTTCATAAAAAGTCAACCTTTATATCTTCTTGATGAGAAATTAGGTTGTACATCTGCTTATAATATCATAAATTTTATTCAGACTGGTTCAACTTCGCTTGGTCCTAGTTAGCTCAGTCTGCTGTTTGACAATCATCACAATCTTTTCATTAGTTTTTGGTTTGTAGGTTTTAATTAATACTAGCATGTTGATTTGATCATATCATTACTTCTTTCTCACTAACTTATCAGTGGGAACTGTAATGCAATCACTGGAGTGGCTTAATTTATCCTTTAACAGGTGCTACCATCATTGGAAATGTCGGTCCAAATCAGCCCCTGTCCATCAAAACTGCAAGAGTTCCTGGTGCGCATGGATGTTGTCAACAAGACCAGTTCAGAGAATTTGCAACTTCATCAATTGTCATCTGTTGGATGGGAAATTTCATCATTAGAACCTGATGGCACCATTTGTCCCTCAGAATTGTTAATGGATGGTCAAGCATTATCTTTCTTTTTTAAGCTCAAGGTTTGTTCATGAAAATCCTATTTTCAACAACAATTGCATGTTTAACTTTTGTTTAATATTAGAAAGGGGCAGAAAACATTTGTTCTAATCTCTACTAGGGCTATTGCCTACAGTGCAGGTGCAGCACCCCATGCACTAAGTGCTGGTTATATTGAAATTTATTAAAATTTAATTTTCCATTTGAAGTTCTGAGTTAATTAAGTTATTCTTCAAGCTCATGAAAGTTTTTATACTTCTAGAATTGTAGGAAACCATTGACAGAAGGCTCGATTACTTCTGCCCGCCTTCTCCAGGGAAGTGATGTAAGCTTGGATCCTCAAGGAAGCAATGAAGTGTTGTTTGATATATCTAGTTCAGTTTTGGAAGATTTCTACCATTATGAGAGATTGCACCTTGGAAAGTCAATTCAGGTTGACCCATTTCTTTCTTTATCTGATTATGAACATTATGCGCATGGATCCTGCATTGTCATTTTGTGTTTTGTGCTCGAACAGAATGGAATAGAAAAACAGGATTCAAGTCACCGGGTCCATATAGTTGGGACAAGGCTTAGATGATGATGATGTATTGAAATACCATATATGACACACAATTTTTGTCCAAATCTCATCCTAATTCAGGATCATTTGTAAACCCATCATTTCCATATCTGGATTATCTGCTAATGCAGACAACCACACACCAAAACAAATATAAAATACATGTACACATATATGGGATAAATTTGCAAATCCTTAAATAGACAAGATTTTTTATACAATTTCCAATTTGTTATCCCTCAACTCTGTACCCCAGGAGATTTGGCTTGCCTGGTAAGTTGTCCATAATGTTATCCAGACAAATCTAGGGTGGCAGCCCAGGAAGGCTGTCAAAACACATAAATAAACCTTGCTATTCATGTAACATGTTTAGGCTAATAGCCACTTGTCACATGCCAAAAGAAAGCCTTTTTGTTAGCACTTTAAGGAAGCTTAGTATAATTTGCAGTTCAGATTGGCTACATTATTGCACATGTTGCTGAAATAGGAAATATTGATTAGTGATTTTTTTTGTTCTTTAAGGAAGAAATGCACACTAAAAAGGCTTTTCTAGAAAACAACTTGATGAGAACAGCTCACTGGTTAGTAAAATATGGCTACTTCTACATAAAGAGCAGAACAATCCATTCTATTGGTTCCCTTCATACTTGCACCAAGTAAAACTAAGTTTTAATGGGTGCAGTCTGATTAACCCAGGGAATTTAGTCATAGGTGGAGCCTTCAGGGATCGTAATAGACTGATTATGGCATTATAGTATTATACCCTGGACCTATTGGCCAATGAGACTCAATGGGGTCTGAATTGCTAGCATTAAATCATTGGATTGAAGTTGAGAAGTTGTTAACTATAGAAAAATCACGGTGAAAGAAGTTCTTGAGTTGTAGTGGGCTTATAAGTAGTGACCCAGGTTCATGGCAGTACATAGATATATATTGAAATAAGTGTGACAATTGGTACATGAATTTATGTAGGCACAAAGATCAGCTAACAGTTTGGTGGATGCATTGGTCAAATAAGGGGTACAGGGACCAATTGTATTGGTGGATGACTACCACAGAATCTGATCTTGTGTTGTAGATAAAATTATGGGGATTGGTGGGTATGGGAGCAGATGCTACCTAGGGATAATAGGGACTGATTGTATTGGAGGATGATTGCTATGGAATATGATCCTTAGTGTTGTACATAGAATTATGGGGATTGATGGGTAAGTTGGTAGAGGCTACCTGGGGAAAATATGAGTGATTGACACATCTTCCTTGTATATAGATTTTATTCTGTTTCTTTTTTCTTTTTTTTTTTCAGTTGTGTGTACAACTTTTATCATTAGTTAACAAAAGTTGATTTTTTTTTTTTTCTGGATTAGTTATCGATTAGAAACCTTTATTAATTGAAGAGAATGAATCAGTGGAAGTAAAGAGAGAAAAGGGCACATCAAGTGAGGCCTGCCCCCTCCTATACTTGAATCAGTGCAACTCAATTCAGCCTTAATCCCAACTATTTGGTTGGCTACATGAATAGTGTCTTGCCTTAATCCCAACTATTTTTTTATTTGTCAGGGTTCAATCAACATACATGTTGGTGTTTGCTGATTGTGGCAAGAGTGCCAAACACGACACTCTTTTTTATTACATTCTTAATTATAAAAGTCCAAGGATTTCATGTTCTCATGAGGTAAGTTCTAACCTTATAGACCCTTGCTAGTGGCAAGAGAAAACCTCCATGGTGCTCTGAAATCTGAGTCCAATGGAGAGAGGCCGAAGTGTAGGATTGTTTCAGAAGGTAAACAGGTGGAAATCTGAGTTGAAGGTAGAGGCCAACCGATTTTTGTTTGATCTTGGAAGGGCTGGAGGTAGAAACCAGCTGAAAATTAGAGAAGACAGAAGGGCGACAGTAATTCTAAATGATGCAGCAGTTCTTGGTTGAAAGGTTTTATTAGATGGAGTTACTTATTCTGTAAGGAAGGTTGGAGGAACTCCCTAGAAATCCATAGGAAGAGATTTGAAGTAGAACTGAGAAGGAATGGAAAAGGCTGGTTAATTAGTGTCACTGAACTCTTTGATAAAAGGAGACAGTTGGTGTGCTTTCCAGAAGGGAAGGAGGGACAGGGCTGGTTGGAGGTTGCTAATAACAGGAATTTTTGTTGCATACTACTGATGGACTGTTAAAGGTGCAGGATGCAATTTTGGAGGTGTCCAGTGAGCATAAGCCCAAGACTCAGATAACAGTGGACAGAAATGAGGGAGTACTAGAAGTTCCAAAACAGAGGTCATCCTCTGGTGGAGAGATATTCGGCAGTTCGATGGAGGTTAAAAGATTCCTGTTTGAGGCGGAGAAAACTATTTGGGAGAGGAGAATGGTAATATCAGCTACAAAAGAGGTGAAGAACTGGAGGAAACTGCTSGACACAGTGGCCTGTAACTTAGGCACTTCGGCTAATTTAGCTTTGAAGCCATTCTCTGACAGGAAAGCTGTAATTGATGTTGGTGAAGAAGATTGGGACTTCACTATCTTTGAATCCGAACTGGGTTTGCTTCAGTTCCAGAAGTGGAAACCGTTCTGTAATGAAATGGAACAGCACTCGGGAAGCCTTTCACTTAAGTTATTTGGCCTTCCATTTCACTTGTGGAGTGAGCAAACTTGAAGAAACTGGTTACGTTGCTGGGAGGAACTGTGGTGGAGTTTAACCTTCAAGATCTTGTAGCTGCCGAGGTCAAGGTTGCGGGAGTGAAACCAGAAATGATACCCAGATCTGTTGAAGTGTTTTCAGAAGGTTGCTGGTATCAGGTGTGGCTAGTTTTGGAAGTGGAAGCGTCTCTTTGGGGAAGAGGTTCCAAGGTTGTAGATGCTGATGTGGCGGGCTGGTACACACGTGGCGTACACTCGGTGGTGAATAACAGGGGTGCGCAGAGAAGTCCCCATGGGGAAGCTGAAAAGTTAACTAAGGAAAACCAAATGTCAAGTAATCTTATTAAGGAAAAACTTTCAAAAAATTTCAAATTAACTGGTGAGAAGGTGGGCCGGTTTTCCTTTGCTGACGTGGCCAAAAGAAGGGGTGGGTCGGTCAATTAAAAGGGGTGCATGGGTGACTCCGAACCAAACAAGGTTAGACCCGGTTCTTTTGTGAAGGTTATAGCCGGCCCACGTGACTATTTAAGTGATCACGTGGGTAGGGGCTTGTCTCGTGTGACACTTGACCGAAAGAATGGTCTAGCTTCTTCCCTATCGAAGCCTGTTAGGGCTGGTTTTGACTAGACGTTGAAGATTGGCTCCAGATGCCAGTTGCAGTGGTCCGTGCGCTCAGAGGATGTTTTGCAAGGTGAAGAGCATTCTGTCTCAGGCTGGCGAACTCCAAGGAGTGCTCAAGCTAGTGCGTTTGCTGGGAAGGAAGCGGTTTTTGATCGGGTGGCTTGCAGTGTGGAGGGGGTTGATGAAGAAGATGAATTGGATGGCTCTACCAGTCTAGATAGTGTAAGGAAAGAGATCTGGCAGCTAGAAGAAGTGGAAGACACACTATACCTAGGGCGCCTCTTTTCGGAAGAAGCTCGAAATGAAGTCCTTGGTGAGAAGCCCCTAACCGTTGGAGAAGAGGAGGTCAAGTTAGCAGATTGAAAACAAGTGCATGGGGAAGGAAATCTGCTCTCAAAGACAGAAGCGCCTTTGCCGAACCAGTTTGCTAGGCAGGATGTATGTAAGGAAGGAATTGAGGCTTCCCAGTGGCAAAACAGGAATGCTTCAGCAAGGAGTAAACGGTTGGGTACAGAGAGTAGTCCATGTGATTTACAACAGAGAGGAAATTTACCAGCCCAGTTCCATTTCGAGGGTTTAGGACACACTCACAAACCAATACAGGGAGTGCCGAATTCCACTCTCAAACCCTGTAATACAGTTGTGTTACTAATGACTGTCTCTTGTTTGTAGTGCCAGATTCCATTCCCATTCCAGAGGATGAAGCTCGTGGTGGAGTAGAGGAAACAAAGGAGAGGAGTAGAAGTGGTGAGGGTAGGGGTAAAGGTGAAGGGGCAGAGGAAGGTAGAGATAGAGATACAAGACTTTGGGAAATTTTTAGGAGGTTGGTGGATAAGCTTGGGGAAAATAACACACGAAAGGAGAGGGCAGAAGTTTTAATTTCTGGGGTAGGAGGAGGTAAAGAAATAAATGAGGATGGGGGCTCTGAAGGGCGAGAGGTTACGAAGGTGGATAGTGAGGATACTGTGACAAATTTTGTGCGGAAATTGGGGTGCAAATTAAAAGACCGAAATGATCTCAAATTTATTTTGGAAAAAAAGGAGGGGGGTAAGGTGAGGAAGAAAAAATTGAATGAGGTTGAAAAATTGATGAGAGATTTTGGAGGGGACAAGAATGTTGGTATCAAGGGGGATAGAAGGAAAGGGGCAAAGTGTTGAGGCTTTGGGTTTGAAGGGAAAAGAATAACTCAGTAAAATGAAAATTGTCAGCTGGAATGTTAGAGGGTTGGGTAGTGCTTGGAAGAGGGCAGTAATTAAAGATGCAATAAAAAAGGTTAACCTGGATATAATTATGATTCAGGAGTCCAAGAGAGCAGAGTTTGATGCTAGGTGGGCTAGGAGTATATGGAGAACTAGGGGGGTTAGTTGGGCTATGGCACCTTCATGGGGATCTGCTGGGGGAATAATAACTTTATGGAAGAGTGAGGTGTGTATAGCAATGGAGGAATTAATAGGCCAATTCTCAGCTTTGAAATTTAAGCAGGTGGAGGATGGATATGAATGGGTGTTAACAAATGTCTATGGACCTAATGATTATAGAGAGAGGAGGAATCTTTGGGAAGAATTGGGGGATGTAAGGGGATTGTGGGATGGTCCGTGGTGTTTAGGAGGCGATTTTAATG